GTGGTCTCTGCAGCATTCGGGAATCCTCCGCACTTTTAACGAGAAGTTGGGAGGGAACAGAGACACCCGTAGCTTCGGTTTAAGGACTGGCTGGCAATGGCTTGGGAGCCGCCTCCGTGTCCTTCAGCCCTCGGTGAGGGGGTCTGTTGCAGGGATGCAAAGGGCAGCTTACAAGTCCCAGGATCTGACCTGCAGGCGTTTTAAGGGAGAAGCCTGGCCACAGGGGGCAGCTAGCAGTTATCACAGTAGCCACAGGTCATATTAATAAAGGTAGAAAAGCCAAACCCAGGGAGGGGAGAGACCACTGAGCCCGTCCCAGTGTGAACTGGCTTGGGACATGTTGATTAGCTCCGTGGATACTGGGAGGCGAGCCTTCGCCCTGGGGCCCTCTGTGACTGGGGTGGCGGAGGGGTTGCTGGGGCGGGCAGGTGGGCAGGCGGGCAGGCGGGCAGGGGTTGACCCGGGGCAGGATGGCTAGCACCAAGGCCTGGCGGTGGGTAGGACTGTGTCATGCACAGCAGCAGGAGTCCCTCAGGGGCTCCGGAGCCAACCTGCAGGAAAGGGGAGAGGCCTGGGGGACCGCGGGACAGCGGGAGGAACGGAGATGGGGTCCCGAGAGAGATGGAGACGCACTGCACGCGGAACGGGAATGGCCTCCTGGGGCAGGCGCTCTCCCTCTGTCCCGCTGAACGCGCTGGGCCCTGCTCCCCTGAGAGAGAAGGAAGCCAGGCCCCTGGAGGATGGGTCACTTGTAGGGCGTCACACCGCTGTGACGCGGGTGGTGCTACGTTGGCAGACAGGCTGCTCTGACCCCAGGGGTCCCTTAGGGCATCATGGGATGCCAAGGTGGGCAGTCTCCGGACCACTGCCACCCTGCCCTCCTGCCATTGCTGGGGCCCAGGGCGCCCCTCAGGTCCCAACACGGGGGGAGGACACTCCGCACAGTGGGGGGACACAGGTCCAGGTGAGCGTGGCCTGGCCAGCATCCTGAGGCCCTGGCCTGCCCAGCCCACAGCCACGTGGCTGACGGGATTTCCGCCATGTTTGGGGCATGAATTGACAAGTGCCCCATTGACGGGCAGGGGGGAGGGTGTGGGCAGGGCACAAGCCACCCACTGTGCCGGGTCCCCACCCTCCCCCGTCCCCCAGGACAATGGCCGAGACTCAGCCAGTGGCTGCAGCTGGTGGGGAGGGTGTGGGCATGAGCACGAGGCTGGGGAGAAGGGAGGGGTCCGGGCGGAGGACCACCTGGGCCCCCAGCCGCCCTCATCCCTCATCCCGCACCTGGCTTGTGTCCCTTCCGTCCCCTGCTGCCCAGCGGAGCGGCCTTGAGGGAGGGAGGGGTGTGGAGGGAAGGGGTTCCGTCCCGCAGCCCAGGCCCAGCCTCCTGGGAGGGGGCAGCGTCTGGATCCTGTTAGAAGCAGGTAATAAAGGGCCTCATTAATGAGGAGCATCTGGGTGCACTGCTCAGCAGGCAGGGACGGTACCTGGAGGGGCCCTGTCTGGCCCCAGCTTCCACCACAGTGTGGCCTGCCGGGCGGCGGTCCCCAGACCCAGACAGGCCTGGCTCCGGGGTCCGGCTCGCCACTCTGCTGGTCTGTTCGGTGAACACGTATTGCGTGCCTACGGCCGGCTTAGATGCGGAGTCCCAGACCACCCAGCTCCCGCGTCTGCAAGCGACGTCAGGACATTCATCCTTCCCGAGCCTCAGTTTCCTCATCTGTAAAGTGGTGAACAAGAGGGCCACCTGCTCTGAGCGGCTGTCATGAGAATGAAGGATGAGTTCTATCAGTGTGTGGTGGCGTTGGGCACGGTGACCACGGAGTGAGTGAGAGCCGTGGGCGTGGGCAGACCCGCCACCACTGTGAGGTCTGTGCCGGGCCAGAGAGCCGAGAGCTGGTGAGCGAGGAGGAAGGCCACCGCTCAGGAGGGAGAGACCTGGGAGGAACTTCCGTTTAAGCCCAACCTGGAGCGCGCGTGGAGGGGCCTCTGGGGCTTGTGGAAAGGGCCTGATGTGGGGCAGGGGCCGGCGGGCGGGGTTGTCCCGGGTCAGAATGGGCAGAGGCAGGACCATGGAGAGTGCAGTGAGAGTGCAGGAGAAGGGGCAGGAGAGGCGGCTGTGGGCAGGCAGGGCCGACCTTGCCTGGCCTCGGGCCTCAGGCCCTGAGCATGGGCAGTGCTGAGGGCGGGAGGAGGGGAGGCGGGTGCTGCTGTGACCTGGCGGTACCATGTTCTGGCCGTGGGGAGGTCTCTCGAGGAGGTCTGGGAGATCAGCAGGAGGCGCGGCTTCCTGCTGACAGGTATCTGCTGTTGGCTCAGCCATATTCCAGGGCTATTTCGGGAACCGTGGGGGAAGGGGACCCCCAAGAGTGCCAGGGGCCCTGCCTTCCTCCTGGGTTCCTGGGGGCTCCGCCCCAGCCTCAGGAATCCCACCCCCACCCTGTCCTCCTGGAATGTTCGGTGAGAAATCTGCAGTGTGGTTCGTGGTTTGGGGGGTAGGCTGTGGGCATCGCCTGGTGGCTGGACCCCAACGTGGCTTGGGGGGAAGGCAGTGTGGGGAACAGACCAGGGAGGCCTCCAGGGCTTCCAGCAAAGGAGAGATGTGGGGTCCTTGCTCCTCGGGAGGCCCACCCACCTCCAAATCTCAATCTTGTCTCCAACCCATGGGCCCACCCCCACCCCGTCCTGCCCCAGGGGCCCCTCCTCCCCCCTCCGTCCACCCGGCCCCTGGCACGGAGGGTCTCTCCTCCCCACAACCACATCTGGTTCTCGTTAGGGTCCCAGGATGCCTCTGCCGCAGCCCCCTCTCCTGGGGGAGGTGGGCAGGAGGATTAGGGGTGATTAGGAACACTCCTGGCCAGGGGAGAGGGGGAAGGAACGAGGGGCCTGGCCTGTTATAAATAGCAACACCGTGACTCCGTCACCCCATCATTCACCGCGGATTCCAAGTTCAGTCTCCGACCTGCAGCTTCGGCGGCTGAGGGGGGTGCCCCGCGGTGCCCGCTCCCGCTCCATCTCCTGGGTTTGGTCCTCCCCGGGAGTCCCCTCCCCGCCCTGCCCACCAGGTGGGGGTCCCAGGATGGCGAGAAGTCTCAGTGAGCACCAACCACACCTCCCCCCGTAGTCAGGCCCCTGCACCTGGGCTTGCCTTCCCCTTGCTGGGTTGCCTTGGGCCGGGGACTTGCCCTCTCTGTGCGAAGGGAATGGAGCTGCAGACTTGATTGGGAGGTAAACCCATAGAGCACAGAGCGTGGTGTGGGCCTGGCAGGCAGACAGGCGAACCATCATGTCGCTATCTGTCCCGTCACCATCACTGCCACGGTCACGGTCACCATCCCAGGTGGGAAAGATGGCCGCATGGCCATGAGGAGCCTGCGGGTACTTGCGTGCAGTGAGCCCCTGTGATTGTTCGTGTACTTGGCTCCAATCAGGCCTGGCACACAGTAGGCGCTCAGTCCGTGGGCCTTTGGTCAGCAGGGAAGGATGGGGGGAGGGGCGCAGAGCATAGAAGGGGTTCTAGAACCTCGGTGTGCAGACAGCCATCCCCGGCTGGAGCAGCTCCTCCTGGCCTGGCCTCATGGGGCCCTGGACGGCCATTGGCCGGGCTCGGTGGGTGTCCCTGGCTCCCGGCTGGGCGAGCCGGGTGGGGGCAGCAGGAGGGCCTGTCCCAGGCAGCGCGTGACTCCCAGGAGGGCTTAGCCCTCATTAATCACCTAAGCGGGGCTCAGCATTCCTGAAATGCCGGCCGGGGCCGGGAGGAGCCGGCCGGGGGGCTCCCGGGACCCCAGGGCTCTGGAAATGGGAAGTGAGGTCAGCCGCTCCGTCTGCGGAGCACCCGCTCGGTGCCAGGCACCCCGCAGCCCTCAACTTGCTTCTCCCTCAAAACGAGCCTAGAAAGGGTTTGCTGTTCCTGCCCCCATTTTACCCGGGAGGAGACTGAGGCTCAGAGAGGGTGCTTGGCCTGCCCAGTGTCACCCAGCGGGGAGGAGGTGAGCCGGGATTTGTTCCTGGGCCCGCCTGAGCTCACCGGGCTCACGGGGGGGAGGCGGGGGGGGGGGGCGCGGGGGGAGCGGGGCGCGGGGAGAGCGGACGGACGTGAGGCCCAGTCCCAGGCGCAGCTCCGGGGCCTGTGGGCAGTGCCCCTGCCTCAGTGGGGCTGCCAGCCCAGGCCATTGGCGAGGGTGGGGCCGTCCACCATTATCGGGGCTGACGCATCTCCCACGTCAGCCCCCTTATCACCCCTCCCTCCGGCTCCCCCCGCAAGGTGACCCTGGGAGGGGAAGGGCCAGCACCTCCCCGCTCCTCCCCGCCGACGCCAGCGAGCAGGGGCCGCCTTTGCTGTGGGAGGGCCCGGCCAGCTAGGAGGGCCCGGGAGCGGGCGGGTGGAGCGCGAGCCCAGGCGCCATCATGTTGCCGCTACGAAGCCTGGGCCCGGGCCCGTACCGCTCTGCGCCCCTCACCTGTGCCAAACCGGGGCCAGGCACCCCAGCCTGTTTCAGGCTGATGGGCATGCGCAGTGGGAGTAAGCTGGGCCGCGGGGTGCAGGAGGCTCCCCCAGCCCATACCCCCCCACCCCCAGGATGTGTGGCCCACCTACTAGGCCTCATGCTCCCTCCCGGGTGCCCCCATGTGGAACCGGCTACTGAGCAGGGCAGGGCAGGGCCCCGGGTGGCGGGCATCCACTGGGCATCTAGCTCCTCACAGCCCCCGCGGGGAAGGGGGACGACAGCCCCTTTTACGATGGAAAGGGGGGTGGAGGGCAGGAAGCAGCTGTCTGTCCGGGCCTGCGCTCTGGTTCCTGCCCCTCTTTGTTGAATCCAGGTGGCCCTGCGGGCTGGGGTCCGTGTCAAGTGGTGGACGATGAGGGACTCTGCCCCACGGGGGGTACAGGAAGGGGGGGAGGCCCTGCCTGGGGTGAGTTGGAGGGCTGGGCCCAGAGGCCCAGGAGCCTCGGGGAGCTGCACCCACCCCTCGCGGCTCACGTCTGCCCCTCCCCGCAGGCCACGACCTCAGCGGGGCCCTGGAGCCCTCCAACCTGGACACCAGCATCCTGGAGGAGTACATCAGCAAGGAGGACGCCTCCGACCTGTGAGTGGCCGGGACCGCCTCCCACCCTGCCTGCAGCCTCGCCTCCGCCCGGGAGGTGACAGCCCTGCCCGGACAGGCTGACCCCGCAGCCTGCCTGGCGGGTGGGCCTGGGGTCCTGGCTGGCGCTGAGCTTCCCCCCTTCTCCGCAGCTGCTTCCCCGACATCTCTGCTCCAGCCAGCGCCGCCTCCTACGCCCACGGGCAGCCGGCCATCCCAGGCTCCAGCGGGGTCCTCCACCTGAGCCCACCTGGGGGTGGACCCTCCCCGGGGCGCCACGGCCCCCTCCCTCCCCCGAGCTACAGCGCCCCGCTCAACTGCAACAACAACAATGGCATGGGCGCCGCTCCCAAGCCCTTCCTGGGGGGCTCTGGGCCCCCCATCAAGGCAGAGCCCAAGGCCCCCTATGCCCCAGGGTGAGTGAGGGCAGGGAGCGTGTGGTGGGTTAGAAGCAGGGCCCCGGGGCAGGCAGGGCGCGGGGCCAGTGACCGGGGGCCTGGGAGGAGCTGGCCAAGGCCTGGCCGTGGCGGTCGGGCTGCCCAGTGGGCAGGTAAGGCGGGCAGAACGAGGGCCAGGCTGGGGAGGGACACGGGGCTCCGCGCAGAGGAGGGGTGAGGCTGACGGAGGTGCTAGAAGAATCTCTGAGAGCCGTGTGGAGAGTGGACAGCAGGGGGTGAGACCAGAGGGCACAACTGTTTACACTCACGGGGCCACCTACACACATGGACTCACCTGCACATGTGCACATACGCGGACACGCAAACGCCCCTCCCTACAACGGCTCCGTCCACTCGGTCGTGAATTCAGCCACGTGTGCTGTGGCTGCGGGGAGCTGGCCGACCTGATGCGCCCGCACAAGCACCCGCCTCCCAGGCCCCCGCCCACGTCAGCGGGTCCCCAGCGATGGCCTGACTCGGGGCTCGCTGGGTCTGGCTGTGACGGAGGGTCCAGGCGGCCACCAGCCCGGCCAGCCGGACGCCAGGGCAGCCCGGACACTGTTCCTGGGGAAGTCAGGGCCGTGCGCTCGGCAGAGGGTGTGGGAGCAGGTTCTGGGGTGCCTAGCGGGGACAGGGACCCTGTCTCCGGGGAAATAACTGTCCCGGCCCCACCCCTGGGTCAGCCCCGGTGTCTTCTCTGTAAGTGCGCCCCCATGGCCCCCCCCCCCAGGTGCTGTGGAAACCGGCAGGCATGCTGGGGCGCCACTACCTCCTGGCTCCCAGGCTGAGCAGCAGGGGCCAGCTGGGGGTCAGGGCGTAGCTGCGGACCCCGAGGGGAAGGGGGGCGGGTGGGGGAAGGCCTGACCAGAGCCACACAGGACTCCGTGGCTGGGCCTTCCTGCCCCGCCCCTGCCAGGCTAGAGTTCTAGAAGTAAACAGGACAGGCAGGGCCCACCGGCTGTGGGTCCGAGGTCTAGATGGGGAGGGCGCCGTCCATCCCTGCACCCCCGGGCTAACGGGCACCCGGAGGAGTCAGGGGGAGGGGCAGTGCTGTGGGCTCGGAGCCTTAGGTGCGGGGGTCGGAGGGTGTGAGAGCCCCTGACCCACGGAGACACCCAGAGCCACTGTCAGGGGAGGCGGAGAGCCGACCGGGAGGCCCACCGTGGGGCTGAGAGGCCTGGTCAGCAGCCAGGGCCGCAGGGAGGGTCAGCCCCCCCTGGCCCTTAGCACTTTCTGGCCTCCTCGCGTGGCTGTGGGGTGGGCGGGTGGCTTGTCTGGGAGCGTGGGCACTCTGGGGTCTGCCCAGGCCGTGTCCCTGTGGCTGGGGACCAGGGATGGCCAGAGAGCTGGACCCCGGGGGGCACACGCTCCCTCCCTGACCAGCACCGGCCTCACGCAGGACGTGCTGACCTCTCGGGGTTGAGTTTGTTCCTTTGCTGGGACTGCTGATAAAACCAACCTGCAGGAACAACAGAGCCAGCCCGCCGCTGGCTCCCTGCCCGCCACACCTGCCCTGGTGGGCCAGCCCAGGCCTCCCAGCCCCCAGGCCTCCCAGCCCCCAGGCCTCCCAGCCCCAGGCCCTGCGTGTCTGGAAGTAGGGGCTTCAGTGGACAAAGGAAAGGGGCAGGCTAAGGCCCTCGCCTGGGGACAGAGCCCTGAACACCTGTGCCATCCTAAGGGACAGTGGTGATGGCCCCCAGTTGCCCATAGGCCTGAGGCAGTGCTGGGCAAGAGTTCAAGACACCCCCCCCACACACAAAACAACTGCCGGGCACCCCGAGGTGCTGGTGCAGAGAGATGCCCGCAGGTGTGAGTGAGGAGACCTGGCTGCCTCCACCTCGGGGTCCCTGGCCCCTGGCCCCAGAAGAGCTGCCTCCCGACACCCCCCCTCTCCCGCAGCACCCTGCCTGACTCCCCCCCAGACTCGGGCTCCGAGGCCTACTCGCCCCCGCAGGTGAACGGTGAGTCCAGCAGGCACCGCCCTCCCCTCTGGGATTGGGGCAAGTGGTTGGGGCGGCCTTATCGGGCGGGCGGGCGGGCGCGGAGGGAGGGGGCCAGCGCTGCCCCACGGGCCACATTATCGCTGGTCAAATACTCCGGGCGGCGCTGCCATTGTTTCCCGGGGGCGGGTGGGGAGCCTGGCCCGGCCCCGAGCGAACGTCCCTCCGGCGATGCCTCCGCCTGCCCGCCGGCGCCATCATGGATGCGCCCTTCGGCGGTAAGTGGACGGCGGGGGAGGCTCCCAGGCTCCCGGCCCTCCGCGCCCTGCGTCCTGGGGTGCCGTGGCCCCCAGGTGGCCAGAGGCAGAAGGATCACGGGCAGCAGCCTCCCCACGGCCTGGAGAGGGGTCAAGAGTTCTGTTTATCTTACCAAAGACATCTGTGGAATGCCTCCTGGAACAAAGGAGCAGGCCTCCCCCCTCAGACGGGGGGTGGGGGGGGGCGCTGGCCCGGAGCCTGGTGGGGGGCTGCTGGGAGGATGCTGCCCCAGGACCGCCCTGGGGGTCTCAGGAGACTCCATCCTGGGGCCCAGGGAGGAGCTGGGGAGGGGGGACTGGCTCAGGGAGCAGGTTCCCAGCCGGGCCCAGTGGAAGGAGCTGGCTAAAGTGGGGTGAAAGGCCGCACCCCCAGGCTGAGGCCAGCCTCCCTGCCCAGGCCTCTAGTGGTCAGCCTTGAGGCTGCCCAGCCCTCCTCCCACCTGGTCTGGGTGAGAGGGCAGCCCCAGGCTTGCCCCAGGAGGGGCGGGAATGGGGAGACCCGGCCAGGGAGCGCTGGTGCCCGGAGAGGTGCCTGATGCCTGCCCCCTTCTCTCTGCAGACCCTCACCTCCTGCGCACCATCACCCCTGAGACCCTGTGCCACATGGGAGGGCCCTCCCGCCTGGAGCACCTGCCCCCACCCCCAGCCCACCTGCCGGGCCCCCCACCGCCCCCGCCTCCCCCACCTCACTACCCCGTCCTACAGCGGGACCTGTACATGAAGGCGGAGCCCCCGATGCCCCCCTACGCTGCCATGGGGCAGGGGCTGGTGCCCCCCGACCTGCACCACACCCAGCAGTCCCAGATGCTGCACCAGCTGCTGCAGCAACACGGAGCTGAGTAAGACGGGGCTTCCCCTCCCCGGGTGGAAGATGAGGTGGGGGGTCAGGGGGTGCAGGCAGGACAGGTGGAGGTGGGGACGGGGCAAACCCAGGAAGGGCAGGAGGCTCCGGCCCCAGGACAGGGGGTCAGCGTGTGTGTCCGCCTGTGACCAGCAAGGGGGCAGGTATTCCGGCCACGGCCAAGAGCTCAGGACTGCCTGGTGGGGCAGGCACGCCACGCCCGTTGGCTGCCTGGGAGCCTGGCTGCCGGTCACGGAACTGGGAAGGTCAGAGTGGCTTCCAGTGACTCCCCAGCCGCCTGGGGTCCTCAGCTCAGAGGAGGTGCTGAACATGGACCTGAGCTCCCTGGCCTGCCTCCAACCCGCAAAATTGCCTTTTTGTTTTACACACTGAGATTTAAATATATATATATATATATATATATATATATATATATATATATATATATATATATATATATATCTTTATTGCTTTCAAATAGGGAGAGGGAGAGGGAGAGAGAAACGTAAATGATCAGAGAGGCTCATTGACCGGCTGCCTCCTGCATGCCCCCCACTGGGGACCAAGCCTGCAACCTGGGCCTGTGCCCTGACTGGGAATCAAACCCTGACCTCCTGGTTCATAGGTCGATGCTCAACCACTGAGCCACACTGGCCGGGCTACAAGGTGATATCCTGGGAGGTTTAGTTCAAGGAAAGAGTCCACTGCCAAAACTTTTTGTCAAGCAGGGGAAGGGGTGCTGTGCAGCCCCCCACATTTCTGCCGCATTCCAAGAAACGCTCCTCCCTGCCTCTGTGGCCCGTGGGTGCTCGGCCGAGGCTTCCCTTGGGGTGACACTGGGTGACAGAGGAAGGAGCTGGCTAAAGTGGGGTGAAAGGCCGCACGCCCCCTGGGTGAGGCCTGCCTCCTCACTCCCCCGGTTCTGAGCCCTCTGGGCCAGGCCCCTTGCCGTGCGATAGGGACTCGCGGGCAAGTCCGGTGTCGCTATTGCCGCCTGGATTCCACAGCTCGGGGTCGGACAGGGTGACGGAACCAGGGAATGACAGCACAGAGTGAGGGGGAGCTCTGTGGAGGCCAAGCCGGGGGGGCTTCCTGCAGGAGGTGTCCTCAGGGCTGGGCATACCCGGCAGAAGCAGGGTGGAGAAGGAGGCTGGGCACGGCCAGGGGGTAGGGCTCAGGGGGAACCAGCCCCCCATGGCGCACACCTCTGTCCCTCCAGGCTCCCCACGCACCCCTCCAAGAAGAGGAAGCACTCCGAATCGCCCCCCAACACCCTCAACGCCCAGATGCTGAACGGGATGATCAAGCAGGAGCCTGGCACTGGGACAGCCCTGCCCGCACACCCGCCTCGAGCCCCCTCCCCGCCCTGGCCCCCCCAGG